TTAAGAGGACTGACTCTTCTTCCAGAGTTCCTGAGTTCAATTCCCAGCAACCACATGGTAGCTCACAACCGCCTTCAATGAGAGCTGCATGCAGGCAGAAGACTGTATACATAATAAATAAATAATAAAAATCTTTTTTAAAAAGTATATTTAGCTAAAATCTCCTTTAAAGTTCTATTCATCGTCTCTACTTTTTCTGAGCTTTGGGGCTGATACAGACAATGAAGTTTCTGATTTATGTTAAGAGCCTTAGAGAGAAATTGAGGTAACTTGGTTGTGAAGGCTGGGCCATTGTCAGACCCCATAGAAATGGGGAGGCCAAATCTGGGAATAATTTCCATTATTAAATAGGTATTTGTAGCCATGAAGTCCTGGCTTGACTTCAGTGACGTCCATTCCTCAAAATTCACTAGGTACTATACCATGAATCTGTTGTCCTGGGGGAAGCATGTCCTTCTTTGCATTTACCTAAGCACAGGTCAGGGAGTGGCCTGAAATGTTGGAGTTTTTTTCTGTGTCCAGGTAGCCAGATGTGAGGGGAGATGAGTTCTGAGCTCCTCTCAGGTGACAAGGGCATGGCGTGATGCAAGGCAGTAGCCAGTTTGGGGCCCAGTACCTTTGGCACACAGATTCTTCCTACAGGCAAGATTACCATCTGTGTGGCTCTCTCGAGCCCCAAGTCAGAATATAACTTGATATCTGCTGGAACATATTTAGGGACATCTTCACCTAGGCAGAGTGGGGCTGAGAGACAGCAGACAGTTCTAAGACATTCTGGGGTTGGGATTCCCTGAGAACAACCTCTTTGGCAACCTTTTGTCTTTTTTTGTGTCCTGGCCAGTGAATTATGGCCAGTTCAGCTGGTAGCCAAGTGGCCTCAAGCAACTGGACAACTTCATGTTTATTTTTGATGGTCTTTCCCTCTGATGTGAGTAAGTCCCTCTGTTTATATATCTGTCCAGGAACAGGAGCCATGGCAAAAGCATATCACCGTCTGTGTAGATGTTCACCTTTGCCCTTCAGCCCATCTTAAAGCCTGTGTCAAAGCAGTTATTTCTGCTCTCTGGGTAGATGTGCCCCTGGGCAAGGCTTGTACACAAATAACCTCTTTCTGGCCTGTAACTACCACTGCCTCCACGTAGTTGGTTTCTTCCCAGATGAAGCTGC